ATCATAAATAACGTGACAACGGTTTACGGGTCTAAAAGAGCTTAGACATGGAAGGATGTAAAAATACGGAAGTTTTAGCGGCTATCAATCTATAGTGAACTTGTTAGTATTAGAATTAAGAACTGAAATTTGAATTGTTTCACCTGGGTCCTTGCAATGCAGTCAATTGCTGTAACCATCGCGCATATGAACACAGACTTATTGACCTGGCTGATTTAATGATCCTTTCAAATGCCCCAAAGGTTGTAAAATCTCTGGTATGAAACTGATTCATACTTATAGACTATTTTTCTCCCTAACTTAGCGGTTTCAGTAAGATCTATTCGCGTACCACCAATCTGCTGACTGGGGCAGTTACGTAGAGTCCTATCCTTGATTACAACAAGAAAGTGGGTGTCGTCTGTCTCGAATTATCTTTTGATAGGATCAATCATATATGTGCTATCATATGCTTAAACTGATAGATGTTCCCGACCGTTGTTGCTACCTTGACGAGGTGGTCGGGCTTGCCTATCGTGATGAAGCAGTCGAGCTATACGGGCTAGAACAACCGTTCCTCAAGGTTCCACCATGTCAGACAGGTCGGTTGAAGAGCGGTAAGGCTAAAAGCAACAAACTCAAGGCCCGAAGGCGAAGTCGACTGCCGGCTGTACAGAGGTGTGACAACAGTAAGGTGATTCCTTCCGACAACCAGCACGACAGCGACGCTTCCTTCCCACAAGGAGGGGTGGGGTTAGAAGCGGTCGACCCTAAAAATGCACACTTCGCCTTATCCCACGGATATCCGTCTCCGACGGTAAGGTCTTGTAGGGCCAGCGAAATGTCACTAAGCACCCCAGAAGTACATAAACCTTGTGAAGGCTCTTTACTCGAACACTACTAGTCGAGTCAGAGCTTATGGCGAACTGTCATCTGCTTTTGCGACCTCAAGTGGTGTCCGTCAAGGCTGTCCACTTTCTTCATTTTTGTTTAACTTCATCATAGACCTTTTGATGGAAATAACATTCTCGTCGACTGAATTCTCGGGTATTGATCTCCTTCCAAGAGGTCCACTTATCGACTTAGAATACGCAGATGATATAGTCATGTTTAGTGAAGACGCTGATAAAACGCAGAATCTTTTGATAGCACTGAGCAACAATGCCAGAATGTTTGGAATGCGCTTCTCTCCCTCTAAATGCAAGTTGTTGCTTCAGGACTGGTCTACGTCAACACCTGAACTAAGGATAGGGAGTGAAGTAGTTGAACACGTTGACAACTTCACTTATATTGGAAGTCTGATCAGCCGTAATATGTTGGTGTCTGACGAAATCTCAGCACGGATTCGGAAAGCTCCTTTGGCTTTTGCCAACTTACGTCACCTATTGTGAAGGCGAGATATCCGTCCATCAACTAAGGGACGAGTATATTGCGCGACAGTTCGTTCTGTTTTACTTTAAGGGTGCGAAACATGGTCATTAATGGTTGAATATACTCGTAAGCTACAAGTATTTGACCACACACGCCTTAGGAATATTACTGGGATCACCGGGTAAGTAATAATGAGGTTAGACACTGGGTATTAGGGAATGATGGTAAATCAGTTGATGAGGTTGTTAATCTTCATCGACTGAGATGGTTGGGCCACGTGTTACGTATGCCCGAACACCGATTACTACGACGTGCAATGCTAACCGGCGTTCGGGATGGTTGGAAGAAAGTTAGGAGCGGCCAAACCAAAACGTGGCATCAGTGCTTGGAGTCACTAACTTCTGGTCTGAGTCATGTTGGTAGATGCAAACCACTTGGTTGGGGTCCGCGTGACTATCGTAACCATTTGAACCAATGGTTGGAGACTCTGGGTGACATGGATCAGAACTGATCACAACGGCGTAGGTGTATACACTCTCTGTCTTCCCTTAAATTAAGAGATTAAAGTCGCTTCATATCTTTCTTCCTGTACTATATCCTTATATGCAATCTTTCTTTTATATATCACCACCATTGACTTAACTACTCCTATGAATCCGGTGTTCATCTCACTGTGCTAATGCGGTATGCCAACTTGGACCGATGCATATATGTGCCTGGTCCTACGTTGTAGTTGACTGACTGACTGATGCTAAGTTACCCCTAGTAGACTGGCTTATTTCACGCAAAACAGTTGGCCTTTTAAGATCACACTGTTTTATATTTTCTCAAGCAACAGTGTTCTAGTGGGGTCTACTAAAGTCAAATACTAATGGCTCCTTAACTTTTGATTTTTACAGTGGTTCATCTAAGACATTTTGCAAATAAATTAGGTGCTTTCCTTCCAGAGGAGTCTTTATTTGCAAGAGATCTAGGTGTCTTGGTAACACGTGGTCTAAAATCTTATTCAAACTGTGCCTTTAGAGTCATTCAAAAGCTATTAAATTTAAAGAGCAATTTTTGTCGTTTCGGTAAAAGAGCATCACGTTTAATCTTCGGCATTTTAGTCAGACCCCGCTAAGAGTATGGTAACATCATGCTTACTCCTTCACTCTCAAATGAACAAGGATACTCTTCATCGAATTTAAATGGGAGACATGAAATACATTTGTTAACTGAAATTCAAGCTTTAGGCGAAGCGCGTTAAATCAATGAGTCTTGCTTATCTAAAAACACTCCTTGCGCGTATATTTGCTTCATATGTCTAGATCCGCACTTGAAGGCATTAGCAACACTGATATACTACACGCGATCTCGTAAGGTGAAAACTTCTTACTTTCAGTTCACAACCAATTGGACCATTCGAGCGATTCTGGACGGAATCGAAAAAGTTTTCGCTTAACGGACTTCTGTATCTAATAGCAGCGGGTCACCGATGCCGCCAGTTAGGAACCTAGGTATATTTAATTAGCAAAAGAGAAATCTTAGTAAATTATGGTGAAATAATATCATTAGTCCCTAGGGACATACCACGTTTTCTCTTAAAGGACTCATGGAAAGTCGCTTGAAGTAGCTCAGCTAGTCACGAATTCCAGAATTTGACAGCGCCGTTCTGCTATGTCGTACCTCCAACCTCTGGGTGTCACCCCCAAGGTTTGTGTTGGAGCTGAGCTTGTGGTGCACCAGACGATACATAAACACAAAAAGTATCAATAAAGTTAATAAAAAGCAATACTAATAATAATATATATCAGTTAAGTGCTACAAATACAATAAAAATGGGACTTTACTTAAGTTCACCCAAAATGATGCGTGTTCAGCTTTAATCTGTTACAATAAATCCACAATTATAGATGCTTGGTTTTTCCAAACGTATCGACGAAATCCCCAGTGGTGTAATCCAAAGTAAAGTATGGTGTATTCGTTCTCACAGTCTATGAATGTAAATAATATTTGTTTTAGATCTCAGTTAACTCAATCTCGAATGAAAACAAAACGAGGGATGTGTGAGAAGCAGTGTATTTGTTAACCAGCAACGATATGTTACGCTATGTAGTATCACAACGGAAATCTTCAAGGTTATTTACTTAAACAACAGGTACAATCATTTAATGATAAATGTACATGCAGTGAGAAATTGACAAAATAAATGCAAATAATATTATAAACTATTTACAAAATAAGCTTGTCAGACCTATCTCCAGAAGCTCAAGGAGGTGTGTAAGGTGATGCTCAAGAGTGTTTAGAATACCATAAGTCTTTGGAAAGTCACCTCTAAGACGCCTGTACTCTGCGTAGAACTTCAGTGATTTGAAACTCTATTCATAAGGCTTGAGTCCCTGAACGGATTAAGTGCCTCGACTTTAGTTACCTTCCGGTGTAATCCTATCCTTTTTGATTAAGAGAGGAAACACTACACTTCCATAAAATAAATACGGTCGAACAGAACTGTTGAAGATTTATTGGAATGTTCTATTGTCGAACTGGCCAAAAATCAGTTTCAATGTTACCAGGGCAAGGTTTTCTCGAAACGCATTGTTGACGCAGTTAGTATAATACTTTAGATTTAAGAATACCAAAACTTTCTTATCTTTAGCATTTTTGAACACTTTCCTAGGGGAGTTACCTAAACTTTATTAGGGGACTGTAACAGATCCCACACGGACTAGTTCGAAGTCGTCAGATTATCTTGGCAGCAAACTTTTCTCCAGAGTTTCACGTCATCAGCGAAAGGTAATAAAGCATACGATACCTTCTGAGAAAGGACGTTCACATAAATTAAGAAAAGAAGAGACCCCTGTATTGAACCCTTTTCGACCTCATCAGTACATCCTGTAGCCTAAGTAAAAGTGAAGTTTACCTTGACACTAAAATGTGAATTATTGAGATATGAAGTAAACTAATTGGTTAACAGTGGCGTGATACCTAACCGTTTGACCTTATTAATATGACATCTATGATTGACTGTATTACAAACTTCTGAGAAGTCAGGGTATATAACATCGACCTTCCTCTTGCGATCAACGATGGTCGCTGATCTATAAACCGAGGTCAGCAAAATAATAATACGTGAGTGACCATTCCTGAAACCGTGGTGTTGTGGTGAAAAGAAATTTGTGGATGGTAATTCGACCATCACGTATCAGGGGCTCCACAATTTTTGAGAGTATAGAGAGAAGTGTTATCAGACGATAGCTTGAAGGTTCGCCGTGTCGACCTTTTGAAAATTAGTGTAATGTGAGCCAGTGTCCAATTTTCTAGTGCTGTGCGTCGACTAAGTGAATGTGAGAACAGCTAACTAAATGTTTTTGTCAAGATTGATGTCCTTCATTCTTGTAGCAGGGTGGACCATATCCTGACCGGGAGAAATGTCTTAATTTAGATGCTACAGTTTCCGATGCATCAACTCAGAGCTCAGTTTTACTTAAATGATTATTGATCTACAAACGCTTACGAGTAAGAGCATAGTATACAGTCCCATCCATATACTCTCAAAACGAAAATATGAGGTCAGAAAAATCTGATTATTTTTATTCAAGATCCCATTATTTTGTTAAGTTTTGTTTAGCTGATCTCACAGTTCAGAAGATTGTTTTTGAATATTCAGCGTCATGCGTGCCTGTGGCGAGGTATGTCTATAACTTGTTGTCAGATGTGTGGTTTAGCTAAAACTATTTTCCGTTGTAGGCCGTAAGCTCCCAACACCTAAAGAGCCGAAGCCTGTACCTTACAGAATGCGGATATTCGCTCCGAACTCAGTTGTAGCCAAATCACGTTTCTGGTATTTCATCAGGAAGCTGAAAAAAATGAAGAAAGGTAGCGGTGAGATTATTTCTTGTGAAAGAGTAAGTCATAGTCTACTACCGGTTGTGATGTCTTGCAAATGACCCTAATCTTTTATATCCCAATTTCAGTATGGAACGTTAAGCCTTTCAATGGTCGGTATTTGGTGTTAACGTACACCTTACATTAATTTCTCGTAACCGTTTTCATAATCCTTTCACATAGTCACTTTCAACATCAGCTTTTGTAATCACTCGTGATAACCTGACGTTAGAACTGCTGTGATGTTAAGTTTTTACCGTCCCGTTTTGTAGTGACTATACATTATTTGTCTGGAACTTATGATTCTTCATTTCCATTGAACGGGTACTCAATTATATGACAATTCGTCATTTCGTAAACCCAGTCACTTGCTTTTGTGAACACTAATGAAACTACGGCTTACGAGTTTGTTATGAGGATCGTTTCTATTTTTAAATTAGCTTCGTATCCTGTGTTTGAGTAATAATAGATAGTCTCAGGTTGATTCAATCTCTGGAACGTCAGTCTTTGTTATACATGGATATCGTTAAATGTGTTTCTATTGGGTTTTGTTGTGGTCGCACCTTTACCGGCTTGGATTTCTGTCTGAGCTAATAGTGGTGCGTATAATGAGGCTGATAATTATGTATTCACGTTCGTCAGCTATAATTTACCTTGATGATAGGTATTCGCAATTGAATTGGTCGATATTAGTTGCTCTCAAGCCAACTGTGTATTTGGAGCGACAAAATGCTTTTGTAGATACTGGTAACGGTAATTATTTCTTATTGAGTAAAGCTGTAGTTGCACCTTTACCGGCTCAGAATTTCATCTGAGCTAATAGTGGTGCGTATAATGAAGCTGATAGTTGTATATTCATACTCATCAGCTATAGCTTGTCCCAATATTATACGTGTTAATAATTGTTTACTATAATTTTCGTCACAGATACACCCAAGAAAGCCACTAATGGTCAAGAATTTTGGGATTTGGCTGAGATATGATAGTCGTTCTGGGACGCATAATATGTACAAGGAATATCGCGCAATGACAGAGGAGAATGCCGTCACTCAATTATACCGCGAGATGGGTGCTCGTCACCGTGCCCGAGCAGAGTCTATCCAAGTGATTAAAGTGGAGTCGTTACCAGCATCTAAATGCCGTCGTCCGTACGTAACTCAGTTCCACGACAGCAAATTGAAATTCCCTCTGCCTCATCGTGTGACTCGTCCTCTTCATCACCCAAGGTTTACAACAAGAAGACCTACAACAGCCTTCTAGTTTTCCAATAAATTTGAAAGGTTACTTGCATTCATTTTTCTCAAGTGTCAATATATTGTATATCGGGAACAGTGTTTAATAAAGCAGTATTATTTGTTAGATATTTAAAAAAGTGGGATGAAGTCAGCGATTCCGAGTTTCCTTCACAATTAGTCGTTTGTTGGTATTGTGCTTCGTAAATCGGTTTACCGAGTTCACTGATTAGTATTAGATGTACGAATTTGTATGCTAACAATGTGACTAGTTTTCCGAGCATCGAACGAGAGGTTTCGACATCATAATTTACAGGACTGAGCCTTCAGTTGAATATTGACCAACCGGACATAGCGTCAGGTGATGGAGCTACTGACTAGTTAAATCATACAGTAGTGAAATATTAGTTACGACACCACAGTAAAGTAGGTGGTCTGGGAATCAGTTGTTATAGTCTAAGCGTGCTAGTCTTCATCCCGTGCATTGATATAACTGAGTTGAGTAGTTTGAATGGGAAAGAGTTGATCTTGGCCAAACAGGGTTTCTTTGTGTTTCGATAAAAATATAATCCATAATAAAGAAAGAGCTCCGAGGGATTCTGGAAGTGGATTCTTTAATTACACACACTGGTGCAAGTGGTCAGTCTTATTGGTAGATATTTTAAACCCTGGGGAAGAACTTGTGGAGATGGATATCGTACATTTTTTGTTACAGAAAAACATAAAGTAGTTGTTTCGTCATGTAATGTACAAACAACTTAAGTAGCTTATCATTTCTCTTCATATAGAAAAATACATAGAGCACAAGATAATACACTTGAAATTTATTAGTTCATTTTCCAGTCGATAGATCTAAAAACTCACTCCAAGATCACATCCTAGTGACAAAATAAAGATGAATCCAACTACTTAGAGTAAAATAAAAGTTGTTTTAAATCCCTAGTGCGAAATAGACCACAGTGAACAAACATTTCCTAATAATTTGTCGCGAAAAACTACGGATTTTAGTAGCCATTTATAGCCAAACGATATACAGGCTTCCAAAAGAAATCCTAGTCAACTTATCGATTAGAAGCAAAGTAACAGCTTATCAATCTGTCAAGTGGTTTGTAACCTAGCATTAATATTGTTTCCCATAATGAAACCGTATTTCTGAATGGAACTCTTCGTCTGGTTTCTAGGCTTCCAAATAGTTAGGTCGCTTATTCTAAATTTCCTAACAAATCCTGTCTTGATTGGAACAGTGAATCATGTCTTACATTAAGAATTACGAGTGGGTGAGTATTGATTATTTACGGACGACCAACGTTAATGAACGACTATCTTATTGATATTAAGTTTTCAAGAGTTGGAAGCAAACTTATCTACTTGCTTCGTGCTGACTTGCAGTTATATCTAGTTACATGTAGGCAAGGTGCTATTGGTCACGCTCTTATGGTATTTCAGCGGACTTAGTAATGGTGATCAGACTTCAGGAAAGAGGCGTTTGTTGTAGACTGCAATCGACTATGGCTCTAACTTACCATCACTTACTTGCTAAGTTTAGCTACTTCATTAAACTTGTACGCGACTCCTGTTGGTTTTCCTGGACTAATTTTATACTTGTAGAAAGAACTATAACTTTTTGGATTTTCACACAAGTGTTCTAATACTATAAATTACAAATAGAAATCTTAAAGTTGAACGACGGGATCCCTCTAAGACAGTTTGAGTCGTAAGGTTTTTAAACATAATTTAAACCAACAAAATTATTGGGATACAAATATGCAGTTCAACTGGCTAAATGAAACAATTACTTCAGATAATAAAAATAACAAGATAACACAACTGTTCAAGGCCAGAACAGTAAGAGTGGCTGATGCCTATCAACTCGGAAAAGTGTCTACATGCACTTGGGGTATTCAAAGGTTAATACGTACAACATAGAGGATGTGTCATTACCCGTAGTCCGGTCTCATAAGGACCTGGGGGTGACAGTGAGCAATGATCCTAAGACGACGGCCGGGAGGTCGCAGTTAAGGGGTTTCGAACCCTCTGGGCTTTAAAAAGGACATTCACTAAGTTTGATACTACCATGTTCACCACATTATACACATCCTTAGTAAGAACTAAGTTGGAGAACTGTTTTCAGGCTGCAAGCCCCTGTTTAAAAGGTGACTCAGACATACTAGAAAAAGTACAGAGGGCAGCTACGCGTGCAATTCCGGAACTCCGTCGTTTATCATATAAAGAGCGGCTTGAAGAACTGAACCTCTTTACTCTGTCCTATCGCAGACTAAGGGGAGATCTAATATTGATGTACAGAATACTGAGAAATGATTTCGGACCTAACTTATTCTCTCTCTTTCTTCCCGCTAGATCGGGACACCTCAGAGGACATAGCAGGCGAGTAGAAAAGCCAAGAACGAACAAAATACCCGTGGCATACAGGTTTTCACACCGAGTCATCAATACTTGGAACCTGCTGCCTGAAGCAGTGGTGTCCGCACCTTCAATTGACTCTTTCAAGAGAAGACTGGACACTGACAGAAGCATACTAGAAAAGGAATAACATAGGCCTTCTGTCCTTACTACACAAATCTGAATCATAAATTATTCACTTTTCATTCAGAGGTAGACTAGTCAATCAAAGTAGATGAAGTCCTGTACACGAAATATAAGGACGTCCCATTTTATGTTTACTAAACACAACCTGTGAAAAACTACTTTATTATTGTTGGTTGATAATTTATGAACGGGTGAAGATAAACTCCACTCTCGTTCGCAGTTTTGACTTCGTACATGGCGACTAAAAATGAAGTGGGAATTTTTGTCCACATTATCGTAATCCGTGGAGGATGTGTGATGTTAAACCTTTATGGTCAATAAATTGTCACTGGGCCCCAGCCAAGTCCGAAAGTCGCGTCATCGAGTATCGAACAGTTTGCATTAGTTAATTGCACACCATGGACTAGCTCATACAGCAGTGGTCGCATTCTGTTAATTGCACCTACTCTTGCAAATATATTTAAGTAGTAACATCGTTTGTATTGTACCGTCATCAAAGCAGCTGTAGCACATGAATGAGACGAAAGGGTAATCCACGTTAGGTACTAACTGCGCGGAGTGACTGATGTTAACCGGTTAGTCGTATCATCCCCGTCCAACTGAAATAACCACCCAATCATTCGGCACAGATTATACACGTTGAATGCTAGCCGCTAGTATATGAACCTGTAAAAGCCCTCAGTTCATAGGATGTATCGTCACTTTATCTCTCAGATTGCTGAACGACCTAAACCGATTGCTTGCTACACTAAATCTAGTTGACTTATAAAATATCACTTTTATATATGCATGTTGAACTGTATTCGATTTAAAAATCTTATTATTGCTTCCATGCAAGTATATTAGTTGATAAGCAACTCAAAGTAAAAAAGAATACAGTCTCAAATCACTGAAGTTCTACGCAGAGTACAGGCGTCTTAGATGTGACTTTCCAATGGCTTATGGTATTCTAAACACTCTTGAGCATCACCTTGTAGCGTGGCGTCGAGTTGAGATTAACTACGAACACCGCTACCAAGAAACACGTGCCAATTAGATCAGAAGGCGTAAGAAGCTCGTTTCAAATGACTCCATAAAATCCCCGAGAAGCCGAATACCAGAAGGCAATTAATGGACCAAGTCGAGGTTTATTAGCTGGCGATCTCGTGGCATCGAAAGGATACCGAGATCGTGCCAGGATACAAGCGTGGTTACGGAACGTAACCGAATTCGCGCGAAGATACAATCAAAGCGTAAGTAAAAGAATGGAAGCACAAAATAGCTGTCATTAGCACAGTCAAACAAAAGCACGTTAAAACAGTCACTGGTACAGTTGGTTATAATAATAATTGTTTTTATTAAACCAGTCGTGTTCTCGTGATAAACGTGAGTCACTGCAACCTTACACACCTCCTTAAGCTCAGCCCCAACACAAACCTTGGGGGTGACACCCAGAGGTTGGAGGTACGACATAGCAGAACGGCGCTGTCAAATTCTGGAATTCGTGACTAGCTGAGCTACTTCAAGCGACTTTCCATGAGTCCTTTAAGAGAAAACGTGGTATGTCCCTAGGGACTAATGATATTATTTCACCATAATTTACTAAGATTTCTCTTTTGCTAATTAAATATACCTAGGTTCCTAACTGGCGGCATCGGTGACCCGCTGCTATTAGATACAGAAGTCCGTTAAGCGAAAACTTTTTCGATTCCGTCCAGAATCGCTCGAATGGTCCAATTGGTTGTGAACTGAAAGTAAGAAGTTTTCACCTTACGAGATCGCGTGTAGTATATCAGTGTTGCTAATGCCTTCAAGTGCGGATCTAGACATATGAAGCAAATATACGCGCAAGGAGTGTTTTTAGATAAGCAAGACTCATTGATTTAACGCGCTTCGCCTAAAGCTTGAATTTCAGTTAACAAATGTATTTCATGTCTCCCATTTAAATTCGATGAAGAGTATCCTTGTTCATTTGAGAGTGAAGGAGTAAGCATGATGTTACCATACTCTTAGCGGGGTCTGACTAAAATGCCGAAGATTAAACGTGATGCTCTTTTACCGAAACGACAAAAATTGCTCTTTAAATTTAATAGCTTTTGAATGACTCTAAAGGCACAGTTTGAATAAGATTTTAGACCACGTGTTACCAAGACACCTAGATCTCTTGCAAATAAAGACTCCTCTGGAAGGAAAGCACCTAATTTATTTGCAAAATGTCTTAGATGAACCACTGTAAAAATCAAAAGTTAAGGAGCCATTAGTATTTGACTTTAGTAGACCCCACTAGAACACTGTTGCTTGAGAAAATATAAAACAGTGTGATCTTAAAAGGCCAACTGTTTTGCGTGAAATAAGCCAGTCTACTAGGGGTAACTTAGCATCAGTCAGTCAGTCAACTACAACGTAGGACCAGGCACATATATGCATCGGTCCAAGTTGGCATACCGCATTAGCACAGTGAGATGAACACCGGATTCATAGGAGTAGTTAAGTCAATGGTGG